AGTTGAAGGCTGCAGTGAGCCATGATTGCACCATTGCACTCCTGTGGGGCTATGGATCTATACCCAGTCTCGGGAAAAAAAGAAAAAAAAAAACTTCCTACTAACTGCTGTGGACTGTTTACTAATGGGAATATGGCAGTAAGCAGACATTCTGCCGTCAAATAATTTACAAATAAGTAAAACAGTATGTCAGGTGGTGATAAGCACTTAAAATTTTTTTTCTTTTTGAAACAGTCTCACTGTCTCCCAGGCCAGAGTGCAGTGGCAAGATAACGGCTCACTGCATCCTTGACCTCCCTAGGCTCAAGTGATCCTCCCATCTCAGCCTCCTGAGTAACTAAGACTACAGGTGTGCACCACCACATCTGGCTATTTTTTTAAGAGATGGGGTCATCCAATGTTGCCCAGGCTGGTCTTGAACTCCTGAGCTTAAATGATCTGCCCACCTGGGCCTCCTTCACTCTTGTTGGGATTTTAGGTGTGAGCCACTGCACCTGGCCATAATAAGCACTTTGGGACTAAAGCAGAAAATAGGACCTAGGGATGTGTGTGTGCATGTGTGTGTGTAGGTAAGTAGGGCTGTTGGAATTGGAAAAAAGGTGGCTAGGGAAGGCTTCATGACCAGAAGCCTCATGACCTTTAGAGAAGACCTGAAGGAGGTGACAGCAAGTCATGGGAATAACTAGGATAAGATCATTCCAGGAAATGTGAGGCATTAAAGGTTCTGAGGTGAGAATATGCTGATATGTTTGAGAAATAGCAAGGAAGCCAGTGTAGCTGGTATAGGAATGAGTAGGGAGGGGGTATTGGAGAGGGGAGAGTAGCAGGATATGAGGTTAGAGAGGCAATAGAAAGCCAAATACAACTTGTATGAAGACTGAGTGAATGGAACAGACACTATTGGAAAGTTTTGAGAAGGGAAGTGACATCCAACTTAGGTTTTAAAATGTTCATTTGGGCTGCTGTGTTGAAAATAGATTATAGGAGTCAAGGGCAAGGAGCTCTCACAACAATTTAAGAGATGAGGGTGGCTTGGACAGGTTAGAAGTACCCAAGGTAATGAGAAGTGATACATCTTTTTTTTTTTTCTTTGAGATTTTGAGATGGAGTTTTGCTCTTGTTGCCCAGGCTGGAATGGAATGGCGCGATCTCGGCTCACTGCAACCTCTGCCTCCCAGATTCAAGCGATTCTCCTGCCTCAGCCTCCCAAGTAGCTGGGATTACAGGCATGCACCACCACACCCAGCTAATTTTGTATTTTTAGTAGACACAGGGTTTCACCATGTTGGCCAGGCTGATCCTGAGCTCCTGACCTCAGGTGATCCACTCGCCGCAGCCTCCCAAAGTACTGGGATTACAGGTGTGAGCCACCTCGCTCGGCCGAGAAGTGATATATCTTGAAGATGGAGCTAATAGGATTTGCTATTAGATAGAAGAGAAAGAAGTCAAGGATAACTCCCAGTGTTTGTCCTGACCAACGGGAAGGTTGGGGTTGTCATATACTGAGGTAGAGATGACTACAGGAGTAGCGGGAGGTTGGCTTTAACATTAAATTTGAAATGCCAATTAGACATCCAAGTGGAGATGCCTACTGGACAGATGACTAGAGAGTCAAGTTCAAAGGAGGGGTCCAAGCTGATGAATGGGATGAAACAGAGTGAGATAAGTAAAGGAGTAGTAGTAGAAAATAGAAATGTTCAGTGTTTAGAATTGGGGAAAAGAGAGAAACAAGAGACAGAGAGTGGGTGACTATGATGTAGATGGGAAACTAGGAAGAGTATGGAGATCTAGAAAGAGTATGGAGTTCTAAGGAGGAGGAGTGGCCAAGTGTGTTAAATATTGCAAAGTGGTCTAATAAGATGAGGCCTGAAAACTTCATTAGAATTAGCAAGGAGAAGGTCTTTGATAACTTTTTTTTTTGGGACAGTCTTGCTCTGTCACCTAGACTGGAGTGCAGTGGCACGATCTTGGCTCACTGCACCCTCTGCCTCCTGGGTTCAAGCGATTCTCCTGCTCAGCCTCCCAAGTAGCTGGGATTAAGGCACGTGCCACCACACCTGGCTAGTTTTTGTACTTTTAGCAGAGATGGGGTTTCACCATGTTGGCCAGGCTGGTCTTGAACTCCTGGCCTCAGGTGATCCACCCGCCTCGGACTCTCAAAGTGCTGTGATTATAGGCGTGAGCCACCGTGCCCAGCCACTTTCATCTTTTTTTTTTTTTTTTTCTCACTTTTCTCTAGGATTAGCCCCCCAAACTCGTTTCCTAATCCCTATTTATAAATAGCTTCTGGTCTACTTTCACCTCTTCAATAGCTACAAAGTGTTCGGTGAATTAAAAATAACCATCTACCTCCAGCCTGGGCCACAGAGGAGACTCCATCTCAAAAAGAAGAAGAAAAGCCATCTACTTTGTTAAACAGAACAAAGAATTTGCTGACATCTTGAGCTTTTAATATCTGCTCCCTCCTTTCACTTAGAAGTGGTTCTAGGCCGGGCGTGGTGGCTCACGCCTGTAATCCCAGCACTTTGGGAGCCCGAGGTGGGCAGATCACGAGGTCAGGAGTTCAAGACCAGCCTGGCCAATATGGTGAAACCCCGTCTCCACTAAAAATATAAAAAAATTAGCCGAGCGCGGTGGTGCACACCTGTTGTCCCAGTTACTGGGGGGAGGCTGAGGAAGAAGAATCACTTGAACCCGGGAGGCGGAGGTTGCAGCGAGCGGAGATTATGCCACTGCACCCCAGCCTGGGCGACAGAGCAAGACTCGGTCACAAGAAAAAAAGAAAAAAAAAAAAAAAGGAAGTGGTTCTAAATAGTAATATTTTGTCTGTCTTGGACTTACAAGAAGGATTCTTTTTTCAACTAAGACCTTCAGTAAATTCATTAAACGAAAGTCTTTGTTTCTTCCCCATCTATTCCTGTGTCTCTTCATATTGTTCACTACGGTAGTTTTAATGTTGCTTTTTGATATTACTACATTTGGTTGCAGATTCGGATTCCCAAGTTTTCTGTGACATGATTGCCTCTGGCTATTTTTTAATTATAGGGTGTTTGTAACAAAACATCTTTTTTGTACTCCTGAGGGTTGGTCTGTTTGCTTATGTATATAAATCATTGTTGTTAATATTATGTTTGTATTGCATCCATAATCCCAAACTATCCTAGAATGTTCACTCCAAGAGAGCAGGGTTATCTTCCTTGTTCTCTCCTGGCACTTAGGTGCTCAATAAATATTTGTTGAATGAATGAATTTCAAGCCTTCTGAGATCGAACTCCTGAGCTCAGGCGATCTTCCCACCTCAGCTTCTCGAAGTGCTGGGATTACAGGGGTGAACCATGACGCTCAGCCTGAGTGTTTTTCTTGAGGGCTGTAGAATCTTTATGCTCACTTCCACTGTGACTTATGCTCACTTGCTTATTAGGCATGGATAAAACATCTTTCTTAAACTGACAGCAGATAAGGGATGCTGGAAGGCAAAAAATGTCTAGAAGGGTTATGGGAAGAAAGCGAGGAATCATTTCTACAAGTGGCAGAGATGACAGAAAGATGCTTTGAAACTAAAAATCCTTAAAGGATGGTATGATTGGTATTGTGTCTGTCGTTATGATACCTGCATTATTTAGCATGGAATTTTAAAGACAGGGTACACAGTTATGAGAAGCAGCCCTAAACTAGAACAAATATTTCCTTATTCTCAGTCCAATGCTCTTTACTATATAAGCGGCAATAAGGGATGAAGGATGTTGAGTTCAAATTCGTCTTCTTTTCCCATTTACTAGCTATGTCCCATTCTGTTCCTCAGTCCTCTTATCTGTAAAATTGACATAATACTAACCTCTACCTCTTAGGGTTGCTTTGAAAAATTCAATGAATTTATATATGTAATTCCCAGAATCAGTAAACACCCAAAAAATGTTTCTCAGGGTTCTCCACACCAAATGTTCGGTACATGTATTGAACTGTTCACAAAAGAAAACTAAAGACGTTTTATGTGCAAACAGTGATCCTGGCCGGGCGCGGTGGCTCACGCCTGTAATTCCAGCACTTTGGGAGGCCGAGGCGGGCGGATCACCTGAGGTCGGGAGTTCGAGACCAGCCTGACCAACATGGAGAAACCCCGTCTCTACTAAAAAATACAAAATTAGCCGGACGTGGTGGCACATGCCTATAATCCCAGCCACTAGGGAGGCTGAGGCAGGAGAATCGCTTGAACCTGGGAGGCGGAGGTTGCAGTGAGCCGAGATTGTGCCATTGCACTCCAGCCTGGGCAAAAAGAGTGAAACTCCATCTCAAAAACAAAACAAAAAACAAAAAACAAAAACAGTGATCCTCCAGCCTCTGTCTATGTCTGATTTAAAAAAAAAAATTTTATTTTTTTCGAGACGGAGTTTCGCTCTTGTTGCCCACGCTGGAGTGCAATGGCGCGATCTCGGCTCACCGCAATCTCCGCCTCCCGGATTCAAGCGATTCTCCTGCCTCAGCCTCCCGAGTAGCTGGGATTACAGGCATGCACCACCACGCCCTGCTAATTTCGTATTTTTAGTAGAGACGGGGTTTCTCCATGTTGGTCAGGCTGGTCTCGAGCTCCCGACCTCCGGTGATCCGCCCGCCTCAGCCTCCCAAAGTGCTGGGATTACAGGCGTGAGCCACCGCGCCCGGCTTGTCTGATTTTATGCTAGCTGTGTACAGTGGTGAGGGAACAGCAGCCTAGGACCACAGACTGAGGGTTCAAAAGTAGCCGGAAAACGAGCCACGCTGCAAGTTGGAAAAATATGACTAGCTGGCAACCCGCCCCACAGCCCGCTCTCCGCCCACTTCCCCAGCTCACTCTCCTCGGGGCGGAGTTGCTGACAGTCATAGCCACCCCAACCGCGCATTTTCTCAGCGCTCCGCCCTTCCAGACACGATAGGTAGTGGGCCTCGGCCAATGGCAACACCCCGTCATAGGCGCGGTAGCCAATCAGTAGCCAGGAGTCCGGAAAGGAGCGAGGCCAATCTAGGAGCCGCGGCCGCCACCAGAGTAGGGCTAGCGGCGCGGCAGAGCGCGGCGGAGCGCGGCGCAGCGCCTGAGGTAAGATGGCGGCGTTCCTTGCTCTAAGCTCTTGCAGTTGGGCTGCTATTTCCCCTTTTTTGTCAACTCAGAGCTGCTGTTTCGCCTCAAAGCAGTGTCAGAGTCAGTCTTCTTCCTACAGGCTTCAAGGAGCCAGGATCTCTGGTGACCGGAGTAGGACAAAATGGCGCTCGCATGGACTTCCGAGGCCGGGCCCAGTCGTGTGCTCTGAGGCAGGCCGGGACAAAGGCGGCGTGCAGGGAGGCAGCGTGGCCGTCGCGTGGGCCTGGCGTTGTCGCTTCCCTTCATGCTGCAGCTGTGCGAGTCCTGAAGATACATTCAGCGTGGTGGGGTTCGGGGTGGGGCCGGGCATGGAGGGACAAGCTAAAGAGAGGGAAAGCCACAAATGCCTGTGGAGACCTGGGGAGGGCGGCGGGCAGTTAGGGAGCGTACCTTACGGGGCCGACTTCTGCCTCTCTTTTGGAAACTGCCCGCGGCATCTGTCCAGATACGGTGGAGCAGGAATTTTCGGGAAGGGTAAAGGCTTTCTGATTTTTATTTTGACCCCGCAGGTTTTGGTTATGAACAGGATTCGGATTCACGTCCTGCCAACCAATCGGGGGAGGATCACTCCAGTGCCCAGGTCTCAGGAACCTCTGTCTTGTGCATTCACTCATCGTCCATGCTCTCAGCCTCGTCTGGAGGGGCAGGAGTTTTGCATTAAGCATATCCTTGAAGACAAGAATGCACCCTTCAAGCAGTGTAGTTATATATCGACGAAGAATGGAAAAAGATGTCCCAGTGCTGCCCCAAAGCCAGAGAAGAAAGATGGGTATGTATGTATAGATATATATGTCGTTTGTCTTAAAGCGAGGGGGTGTGTGATATGATGTGGGCTTCAGCATAGCTGCCGCGTTTGAGATCACGTCCTTGTAAATTTGGGGTTATGGTTGTATCCTTGGAAAATTGAAAAAACGGTGAAGACTGGAAGGACCCTTGAATTGGATTACTTAGTTCACCTCTTTGGTTCTTTTCCCTTATCTGTAGTAAAATAAAGGCATATTCTAAATTACTTTTTTTTTTTTTTTTTTAAGAGAGATGGAGTCTTGCTGTTTTAACCAGGCTGGTCTCAAACTCCTGGCCTCAAGGTGTCCTCCCATCTCGGTCTCCCAGAGTGCTGGGATTACAGGCGTGAACCACCGTGCCCGACCCTAAAATTAATCTTTTTTTCTTTTTTTTTTTTTTTTTTTTTTTTTTTGAGACAGAGTCTCCCTTTATTCCCCAGGCTGGAGTGCGGTGGTGATCTCGGCTCACTGCAACCTCCGCCTCCCAGGTTCAAGCGATTCTCCTGCCTCCCAAGTAGCTGGGACTTAAGGCGTGCGCCACCACGCCTGGCTAATTTTTGTACTTTTTAGTAGAGACGGGTTTTCACCATGTTGGCCAGGCTGATTTTGAACTCCTGACCTCAGGTGATCCATCCGCTTCGGCCCTCCAGAGTGTTGGGATTACTGGCGTGAGCCAGGGCACCCAGCCCCTAAAATTATTCTTAATGGAGGGATGTGTGGCTCTATTTGGCTGTCCATGAATTTTGTTAAATAACATGCAAAGTTGTATATGTGTGAATTCTTCTGTAAGAGGGTTCATAGTTTTCATCATGTATGCAAAGGTATCTATGCAAAAACATAACCTGACTAGATAATTTTGTACATATCTTGTAGTTTTAAAATTGTGTCCCTGGCTGGTCGCAGTGGCTCATGCCTGTAGTCCCAGTACTTTGGGAGGCCACAGCAGGAGGATCACTTGAGGCCAGGAGTTGGAGACCAACCCGAGCAATATAGTGAGACCACGTCTCTACAAAAGATTAAAAAATTCGCTGGGCATAATGTCTTGGGCATGTAGTCCCAGCTTCTTGGGTGTATCAAGAGATGGGAGGATCACTTGAGCCTGGGAGTTCCAGACCAGACTTGGCAACATAGACTTTGTTTCTACAAAAAACTAAAAAAAATTTGCCGGTACAGTGGTGCATGCCTATAGTTCTAGCTATTTTGAAGCTGAGGCAGGAGGATCACTTGAACCAAGCAGTTTAAGGCTACAGTGAGCTATGATTGCATGACTGCACTTTAGTCTGGGCAACAGAGCAAGACCCAATCCCTTGCCTCAGCCTCCTAAAGTGCTGGGATTACAGGGGTGAACCGCTTCATCCGGCCTGTTACTTTCCTTTAATAAAAAGTCAATGAGTTGACCTTGGGCCAGTTAAATTCCTCTGACTTGCATTTTTAGAAATGAATGTAATAATCATTTTAATTCCCTGAAAATGATTTAAAGATTAGGGACTATGAAAATTATTGAATGCTTTCAAGAAGGGACTTATAAAATATTAATGTTTTGTCTCTTTAGGGTGTCCTTCTGTGCTGAACATGTCCGTAGGAATGCCCTGGCACTTCATGCTCAAATGAAGAAGACCAACCCAGGGCCTATGGGTGAAACACTCCTGTGCCAGCTCAGCTCATATGCTAAGACAGAGCTGGGGTCTCAGACTCCAGAAAGTAGTCGCAGTGAAGCCAGCCGAATACTAGGTAAGGATCTTCTCTCCTGGAATGAAAAAGGAGGAAGAAAGTTAAGGGGGAACTGTTTTGGGTTAGCACAATGCCTTGAACTATTTGGCAATATTGTTAATTCATCAGGAATTTGTTGAGAATTCCGGGATTGCTTTGTTGTTTACCAATTCTTTTGAATTTGAAGTAGTGTTTGCCTAGGTTTACTCTCCTGAGTTGGTGACCATTTCTTTCATTGCTTTTTTAATGCTCAGCAGCTTTGTTAGGTAATTTCAGGAAACAATAATTTTAAGTTGATTTTTCTGTTTAAGAGGGCATGGTGTACTCATTTGTGTTGTAAGTAATCATACTGGGTTGTATTTTGTTAAAGCGTTTTTATTTCCCAGTGCCTTTGTACAAAGTTTTTTTTTTTTTTTTTTTTTTTTTTAATTTCAAGGTTTGGGTTGATAAGTAATCTAGTTTTGTGTGGTGGAGTTACAGAGGTGGGAAGTCTTAATGGCTGCTCTCCCTTCCTTGCCTCAGATGAAGACAGCTGGAGTGATGGGGAGCAGGAACCCATTACTGTGGATCAGACATGGAGAGGTGACCCTGACAGTGAAGCTGATAGCATAGACAGTGATCAAGAAGATCCCTTAAAGTAAGTTGTAACTCCACATAAGGCATTTGAAATGTAGTTAGTATGTGGAATGTGGCGCTGCATGCTGTTAATAAATTAATAACCTAGGAGGGTTGAAGACAGCCATTTGTCAGCAGTAAGAGATTCTGTATATAAAAGCGGCATGGTTCGTTGTCATCTTGCTTCAAGGCAGGATGATTCTTTTTTAGAAGTCTTGTAATTTAGAAAAAGTTTGAACACCACATTCTACATATGAGAAAGTATAGGGGAGAAAACAGGAAATTTAGACATGGGAGTGTGGGAGGTGGATTGAGAAACGGTCACACCAGTTTAGAGAAGAGAAAATGGTTGTGAATGGGTACTTGGCCTAAAACTCAGAAATAATGTGATTGTAGTTGAATACTTCTGTAAAATGTTGTATTTATGGATTTACAAGTTTTTAAAAGTTTTATATTGTTTTAAATTGACAATTTTACATATTTATGGGGTACAGTGTGATGTTTGGATACTTGTAAACCTTGTGTCATGATCAAATCAGGGTAATTAGCATATTCATCACCTCAAACATTTAGTGTTTTTAGTGTGTGGATTTTTTTTAAAAAGAAGAAGGAAAGGGTATTCAAGAGTTTGGTTTTGTGCCTAAGAAAGAGAAACCGATTTAGAAACCCAAAAGTGATTATGTCTTAGTCAGTTTTATATCTTAGTAAGCTTCTGCTCTTCTCTTAACCCATCATCACCGTAGGAGTTATAGAAGCATAAAAACATTACCACTCTGAAGTCTCTTATTTCTGTGTCTCAAGGTCTGGGTTTAGTGTTTTAAAATTTTTGCCTGCTGACTTCTGTGTCTTAACACTTAGTACTGATAGTTTATGTAGAGGGACTGTAAATAGTGGAAGGGGTAATTTCTAGGTTGACTATTGGGCTTTTGTTCTTGGAATAGTATTTTCTTCATTACTTTAGATTCTTTGGTTTATAAGAAGTCATTTAGGGTTACATTTTGTCCTGTCCAACTACTAACCAGGCCTGACCCTGCTTAGCTTCTGATATCAGAGGAGGTTGGGCATACTCAGGATAGTATGGCCATATATTAAGTTTTCTGAGTAGAATAATTTCATCCATTTCTATTGAGTAATGTCACTGTGGTCAACTATTCAGGAAGTACTACTTTAGAAAGCCCATCTAAGTAGTTTGAAAGGGAATGTCTGTTCTCTTGCAGGATTCTCTCACAAATAGTAACCTAAACCAACATATTCATTTTTTTTTTTTTTTTTGAGATGGAGCCTTGCACTGTCACCCAGGCTGGAGTGCAGTGGCACGATCTCAGCTCACTACAACTTCTGCCTTCCAGGTTCAAGTGATTCTCCTGCCTCAGCCTCCCAAGTAGCTGGGATTATAGGCACCCACCACCACACTCAGCTCATTTTTTGTAATTTTAGTAGAGATGGGGTTTCACATGTTGGCCAGGCTGGTCTTGAACCCCTGACCTCGTGATTCACCTGCCTCAGCCTCCCAAAGTGCTGGGATTACAGGCATGAGCCATCAGGCCCAGCTTCATTCCTTTTTTTTCCATTGTGGTTCTAGATGATCAAACTTGCTGCTTTGAAGAGATGTATGCTCTCTAGGGTTACAAAGGGAGTGTCATTTGGTGTGGTAAACACTCAGCTTAAGGTCGAGAAACTTGATTTTGTTGGTAATAATCTAGAGTGGATCAGTCTCTAGGAGGCGCATCCATGCTGATTTAACGTGCAAGAGACTGCTGTATAAACCAAAATACCAGGTAATTTTATGAGAAATATAAATGTGGAAAGGACTAGGCAGTTGATGTCACTCTCTCCTAGAAGAAACATGTTCAGAAGAGAAAATAAAGCCCCAAATATGGCCAACTATTAGGCAACTAAGTATAAGGCTTTTGTTAATTTTCCCAATGAGATTATTTTTTAAAAATAATTTAGGCCCACTAAATTTATGCGTTTTTAGGCGTGTAAATAGAGATGTTCAATGTTTTCTTATAATATGATTACATATTACTATCTTGTTATATTTAATAATATAGTAATTTAGTAGTATGTCCACTGAGTGAAATGCTTTTCATTAAGAATTTTCATCTTAGGGCACCGGTGTCTTTGTCATTCATAGTATCACTTTTTGAATCATCTAATAATTTAACCACATTTATCTTGAATTGCTTGTTACAGAAAAGACACCTTTTGTATTGTTTATGATGTTGCTAGAGACTTTATTCTAACTAGAATATTCTTGGCATAGATTTTTTAAACTTCCTGTTAGTATATATGTGATTTCTCTCAAAAGTAACCACTTACTTAATTGTTTTGTTAAAAGTAATCTTTTTTTTTTTTTTTTTTTTTGAGACGGAGTCTCGCTCTGTCGCCCAGGCTGGAGTGCAGTGGCCGGATCTCAGCTCACTGCAAGCTCCGCCTCCTGGGTTCACGCCATTCTCCTGCCTCAGCCTCCCAAGTAGCTGGGACTACAGGCGCCCGCCACTTCGCCCGGCTAGTTTTTTGTATTTTTTAGTAGAGACGGGGTTTCACCGTGTTAGCCAGGATGGTCTCGATCTCCTGACGTCGTGATCCGCCCGTCTCGGCCTCCCAAAGTGCTGGGATTACAGGCTTGAGCCACCGCGCCCGGCCGTTAAAAGTAATCTTTAAGAGCTTGTTTATGGCCAGGCACAGTGACTTACGCATGTAATCCCGGCACTTTTTTTTTTTTTTTTTTTTGATATAAGAGTTTCACTCTTGTCGCCCAGGCTGGAGTGCAATGGTGCGTTCTCAGCTCACTGCAACCTCTGCCTCCCGGGTTCAAATTATTTTCCTGCCTCAGCCTCCTGAGTAGCTGGGATTTCGGGTGCCTGCCACTATGCCCAGCTGATTTTTGTGTTTTTTAGTAGAGACAGGGTTTCTCCATGTTGGCAGGCTGGTCTCGAACTCCTGACCTGAGGTGATCCGCCCACTTTGGGAGGTCGAGGTGGTAGGATTGCCTGAGTCCAGGAGTTCGAGATCAGCCTCAACAACATAGGGAGACCCCGTCTCTACAAAATATTTAAAAATTAGCCATACATGGTAGTGCACGTGGTCTGTAGTCTTAGCTACTCAAGAGGCTCAGGTGGGAGGATCACTTGAGCCTGGGAGGTCGAGGCTCTGTGATCGTGCCACTGCATTCCAGCCTGGGCAGCAGAGGGAGACCCTATCTCACGCACACAGAAAAAATAAATAAAAGCTTATCTACAACATCTAATACTTAACGAAGTTTTATCCTAAAGGTAATTGTTAAGTCTTCATTTCCCTTTTTTAATAATAATTGTATCATATGACCTCTATAAACATCCAAAACTTGTTTGGCTGAAGGTTATTTCACATTATTGTCATCATTGTTTTCCAAATAAAGAAATTCGGAAAATGCCCTTTATAAGAGAGACTGTTTGGTAGAATGTAAGGTGAGACCCTGTTTTTTGAAGATGAATTTTAATAATAAAACCTTGACTTTCATTTGCACATACCAGAGCAAGGGGAATTAGTACATAATTTTAATGTCCAGCTCTGAAAGTCTGGCGCATTCATCTTTAAGTAAATGAGCCATCTGTTACATGAACCAGCAGGCATTCATTTAGTAGGTTGTTTACTGCCCCCACCAAATGATTTCTAATAGTAATGACTTCAGATTAATACATTTCAGTCGCAGGCTGTTGGTTAAATTCTCTTCTGACAGGGTGCAGTGAAATTAATTTTTTAAAACAATTTTTATTTTTCTCTTTCAGTATTCAAAAAGTGAATTTCATTTTAACAAACTCTACATTAAGTTAAGGCCTCAGTATTTTAGGTTAGAGACAGGTTAATGCAGGCATAACCCATTTTTCTGAAGATATAACTTAGTCACATTGTGAAACTGTTATATATTTATTCTTGAGACGGATTCTTGCTCTGTTGCCAGGCTGGAGCACAGTGGCACGATCTCAGCTCACTGCAACCTGTGCCTCCTGGGTTCAAGCAATTCTTCTGCCTCAGCCTCCCTAGTAGCTGGGACTACAGGCACATGCCGCCACGCCCAGCTGATTTTTTTTTTTTTTTTTTGTATTTTAGTAGAGACGGGATTTCACCATGTTTCCCAGGCTGGTCTCAAACTCCTGAGCTCAGGCAGTATGCCCGCCTCGGTCTCCCAAAGTGCTAGAATTACAGGCTTGAGCCACCACGCCCAGCCAACCGTTATGTATTTTTAAAGCCTTTTCACATTTTCTGATAGTCTGTTAGCTTTTGTCATTTCTGTTATTTGCTGGTTTAATTTATTTTTTATTTTATTTTATTTTATTTTTAATTTTTAATGTATTATTTTTATTTATTTAATTTGTTTATTTATTTTATTTATTTAATTTTTTAATTTTGGAGACAGAGTCTTGTTCTGTCGCCCAGGCTAGAGTGCAGCGATCTTGGCTCACTGTAATCTCCGCCTTCCAGGGTTAAGTGATTCTCATGCCTCAGCCTCCTGAGTAGCTGGGATTATAGGCGCTTGCCGCCATACCTGATTAATTTTTGTATTTTTAGTAGAGAGGGGGTTTCGCCCTCTTGGCCAGGCTGGTCTCGAACTCCTGACCTCAAGTGATCCACCCACCTTGGCCTCGTAAAGTGCTGGGATTACAGGCGTGAGCTTCCACTCCCGGCCCTTTGCTGGTTTTATTAACCATGTTTTGATTTTTCTTAATTTCTGTTCACTTTTACTTCAGAATATAGTTAAGTACCTCTTACACACAGGTAATATTGGCTCTTGTTTATATTTAGAAGAAATTTTGGCAGAAATTACTTGCTTTCAGTCCTAAGGTTAATTTTATATGTTTATTCTATGTTTTTCAGTGACTTAACAAGCTAGTTTTTAAAAATAAAGCATAGGCTGGTCACAGTGGCTCACACCTGTAATCCTAGCACTTTGGGAGGCCTTGTCAGGTGGATTGCCTGAACTCAGGAGGAGTTTGAGACCAGCCTGCGCAACATGGTGAAACCCCATCTCTACTAAAAATACAAAAAATAAAAAAATTAGCCGAGCGTGGCAGCACACGCCTGCAATCCCAACCAACTACTGCGGAGGCTGAGGCACGAGAGTTGCTTGAACCTGGGAGGTGGAGGTTGCAGTGAGCCAACATTGTGCCACTTCAGTGAAGCCTGGGAAACAGAGCAAGACTCTTGCTTAAAAAAAAAAATAAATAAAAGTAATAAAATATAATTTTAGACTTAAAATTAGTGTATGTGTTTTGCCTTTTCAATAAAATTTTTACTCAAAGTATGAAACTTAAGGTATGTAGCTTGTTCTTTGTATTTATGTAATGATCAGACAAGATGAATGAAACAAAATTTTTAAAATTCAAAGTTATTCTCTTATTTATTTATTTTTTGAGACATGGTCTTGCTCTGTCACCCAGGTTGGAGTGCAGTGGCGCGATTTCAGCTCACTGCAGCCTCCCACTCCCAAGCTCAAATGATCCTTTCACCTCAGCCTCCTGAGTATCTGGGATTACAGCTATACACCACGGTGCCAAGCTAACTTTTATATTTTTTGTATTGTCAGGGTTTTACCATATTACAGCCCAGGCTGGTCTTGAACCCCCAGGCTCAAGCAATCTGCCTGCCTCAGCCTCCCAAAGTGCTGTGATTACAGGCGTGAGCTACCACACCTGCCCTCATCTCTTAATTTTGGTTGCATAAATCAGAGCCAGGGAACAGTGTTCCACACATTAATCACTAGCATAATTTTTAGAAGTTTTTTTTTTTTTTTTTTTTTTTTCCTTTTTTTGAGATGGAGTCTCACTGTCAACCAGGCTGGAATGCAGTGGCGCAATCCGAAAGTTCTTTTAGTTTATAATTGACAGCAAAGCTTAATCAAGTTGACATGGATACGTGCCAGATCTTTGGCAATTAAGGGTTAACCTAGGGTACTGAATTTTGAGAATATTGTCAAGAAAATTAGCTGAAGACAGTGTGTAGCCCATTTTGACTAGTTATTTGAGGGTCCATATGAGCTCCAATATAGGACTATATTTTTTAAAAAATCACAAGTTTTGGCCGCGCACAGTGGCTCATGCCTGTAATCCCAGCGCTTTGGAAGGCTGAGGCTGGAAGATCGATCTGAGGTCAGGAGTTAAGACCAGCCTGACCAACATGGAGAAACCCTGTCTCTACTTAAAATACAAAAATTAGCTGGGTGTGGTGGTAGGTGCCTGTAATGCCAGCTACTTGGGAGGCTGAGACAGGAGAATTGCTTGAACCTGGGAAGCGGAGATTGCAGTGAGCTAAGGTTGTTGTGCCACTGCACTGCAGCCTGGGAGACACAGCAAGACTCTGTCTCAAAAAAAAAAAAATTATTTGATGTTGGTATCTTTAGTGTTTTAATTAAAATATATTGCCAGATGCAGTAGCTTATGCCTTTAATTCCAGCACTTTGTGAGGCTGAGGTGGGAGGTTCGCTTAAACCCAGGGGTTCAAGCCTGGACAACATGGTGTAATCCCATCTCTACAGAAAATACAAAAATTAGCCAAGTGGGGTGGTGCACACCTGTAATCCCAGTTACTTGGCAGGCTGACATGGGAGGATCGCTTGAGCCCAGCAAGCAGAGGTTGTAGTGAGCTGTGATCGATTGTACCACTGCACTCCATCCTGGATGACAAGAGTGAGACCCTATCTCGAAAAAAAAAAAAAAAATGTGTGTGTGTGTGTGTGTGTGTGTATATATATATATATATATATATGAGAATATGTATATGTGAGAGATACACGTTAATGAATTTAACACTTTAAAGCTGTCCTGACTGGTTAAGTGATTTCATATCAAAACATTAAGAATGTAGGTTAATAAAAGTTTAAAGTGTTCCACATTTTCACTTTCTTTTCAATGTAATGCAAATAGCTGGAAAAAAATAAGACATTTCTCCTTCCCCCATTTTGGGAAATCACAGATTAGTGTTCTTTCTTGGAGATTTTCTCTCTTGTTTTATTTAGGAACAACTTGAATGGTACGATGTTTTATGAAAACATTACTATTAAGGTGATTATCTCACCACTTGTTAAATAACAAACTTAGTCTGACATCTCTACTACTCTTTTAAACTTGGGTTTTATTATTATTGTTTTCTTATGCTTTGCTGAATTCTGTTTTATTCCAGACATGCTGGTGTCTACACGGCAGAAGAAGTGGCCCTGATTATGCGTGAGAAGCTAATTCGTTTGCAGTCTTTGTATATTGATCAGTTTAAACGACTTCAGCATCTGCTCAAGGAGAAGAAGCGCCGGTACTTACATAATCGCAAAGTGGAACATGAAGCTCTAGGCAAGTTTTATGCCAGTTCCAATAAGCTGTTGTGGGTTTAACTTGTGAATTTGCTAGTACAGTCATGTGTCGCTTAATGACGGGGATACATACGTTGTTAGGCGATTTTTGTCATTCAAACTTCATAGAGTAACGCTAACATAGGTGGTATAGCCTACAATGTACCTAGGCTGCAAACCTGTACAAGCATGTTACTGTACTGAATACTGTGAGCAGTTGTAATAGTGGTATTTATGTACCTAAACACATCTAAACATAGAAAAGGTACAGTTAAATTATGGCATAAAAGATTTTAAAAATGGGAACTTAGCATGAATGGAGCTTGTGGGACCGGAAGTTATTTTGGGCGAGTGAGTGGTGAGTCGTGAGTCAACGGGAAGGCCTAGCACATTATTATTTACTACTGTAGACGTTGTAAGTCCTGTACACTTAAGATGTACTAAATTTATAAAAAAAATTTTTTTTTTCAATAATAAATTAACCTTAGCTTATTGTAACTTTTTTAGTTTATAAACTCTTTTTTTTTTTTTTTTTAAATTGAGACAGATGCGGAGTCTTACTCTGTTGCCCAGGCTGGAGTGCAAGTGGTATGATCTCAGCTCACTGCAACCTCTGCCTCCTAGGTTCAAGCAATTCTCCCACCTCAGCCTCCCGAGTAGCTGGGATTACAGGCACATTCCACCATGCCCGGCTAATTTTTTTATTTTTAGTAGAGATTGGGTTTTGCCATGTTGGCCAGGCTAGTCTCAGAACTCCTGACCTCAAGTGATCTGCCTACCTTGGCCTCCCAGAGTGCTAGGATTACAGGCATGAGCCACTGCGCCTGGCCTATAAGCTTTTTTTTTTTTTGAAGAGACAGAATCTTGCTGTGTCACTCAGGCTGGAGTGCAGTAGCGTGGTCCTTACTCACTGCAGCCTTCAACTCCTGGACTCAAGCTATCCTGCCTCAGCCTCCTGAGTAGCTAGGACTACAGATGCACCAGCACACTCAGCTAATTTTTAAATTTTTGTAGAGACAGGGTCTCGCTATGTTGCTCAGGTTAGTCTTGAACTCCTGGGCTCAAGTGATCTTCCTACCTCGGTTTTCCAAAGTGCTGGGATTGATTACAGGCATGAACCACTGCACCTGGCCTTTATAGACTTAAAAATTTTTTTTAGAAAAACTTCTGGACTCTGTAATAACACTTAGCTTAAAACACAAACACACTGTATAGCTGTACGAAAATATTTTTTTATATCCCTATAAGCTTTTCTAGTTTAATTAAAAAAAAAAAAACCTTTTAAACTTTTGTTAAAAACTAAGATGCAAACACGTACATTAGCCTAGGCCTACACGGGCCTAGTGTCACTGTCTTTTGCTTCCACATCTTGTCCCAGCGAAAGGTCTTCAGGGACAGTCTCATGCAGCGAGCTGTCATCTCATGATAACAGTGTCTTCTGCAATACTTTCTGAGAGACCTGCCTGAGGCTGTTTTACATTTAAATTTTTTTTTAAAAAATAAATAGAGTGGAGTACATTCTAAGGATAAATACAGTAAATACATAAACCAGTAACATAGTTGTTTATTATCAAGTATTATGTACTGTGCATAATTATATGTGCTAGATTTTTTTTTGTGTGTGTGATGTAGTCTTACTGTGTCACGGGGCTGGAGTGCAGTGGTGTGATCTCAGCTCACTGCAACCTCCACTTCCTGGGTTCAAGCAATTCTCCTACCTCAGCCTTCCGAGTAACTGGGACTACAGGCTTATGCCACCACGCCCAGCTAATTTTTGTGTTTTTAGTAGAGATGGGGTTTCACCATGTTGGCCAGGATAGTCTCAATCTCCTCATCTGGTGATCCACCCGCCTTGGGCTCCCAAAGTGCTGGGATTACAGGTGTGAGCCACCATGTCCAAACTGTGCTAGACTTTTATACAACTGGCAGTACAGTAGGTTTGGCTACCAGCATCGCCACAAATGTGTGGGTTGAACTATGATGTCACTAGGCAATAAGAATTTTTCAGTTTTGTTATAATCTTATGGGACCACTGTAGTATATATAGTCCATGATTGATTAAAAAGTGGTTTATGTAGTACATGACTATAATTAGATTTATTTCTGTCTTGGTACCTGGGGTGGGGGCTAATTTGCTTTTGAAACTGCCTATCTTATGCCCAAAGATTTTCCTGTTTACTTGTTTACTTGGAGAAGTAAATTTGATGGATTGCTTGGCAAATAACATCTTGACTCTTGTAACTCTAGGCAGTAGTCTCCTGACTGGCCCAGAGGGACTTTTGGCCAAAGAACGAGAGAACTTAAAGCGATTAAAATGTCTGCGTCGATACCGCCAGCGCTATGGAGTGGAAGCCTTACTGCATAGGCAGTTGAAGGAACGGAGAATGCTGGCCACAGATGGTGCCGCCCAACAGGTAATTTGTGTGTATACCTTTAAGGTATATATGTTCACTTTATTTATTGTTTTTATGTTTTTGAGATGGAGTCTCGCACTGTCACCTGAACTGGAGTGCAGTGGTGCAATCTCGGCTCACCGCAACCTCTACCTCCCAGTTTCAAGTGATTCTCCTGCCTCAGCCTCCCGAGCAGCTGGGATTACAGGTGCCCGCCACCACACGCCTGGCTAATTTTTTGTATTTTTAGTAGAGACAGGGTTTCACTATGTTGGCCAGGCTGGTCTCCTAATCCTTGATCTCGTGATCTACCCACCTTGGCCTCCCAAAGTTTTGGAATTGCAGACATGAGCCACTGTGCCTGGCCACGTTCGCATTATTTACAAAGTTAGCGTAATTGTCAAAACATTATGTCCAGTTTTTTTTTTTTTTTTTTGAGACAGAGTTTCACTCTTGTTGCCCAGGCTGGAGTGCAGTGGCGAGATCTTGGCTCACCGCAGCATCCACCTCCCGGGTTCAAGTGATTCTGCTGCCTCAGCTTCCCGAGTAGCTGGGATTACAGGCAGGCGCCACCATGTCTGGCAATTTTGTATTTTTAGTAGATACGAGGTTTCTCCATGTTTCTCAGGCTGGTCTCGAATTCCCTATGTCCAGTCCTGGATCTGAAATCTGACTTTTTGCACTTGGGTTGTAGTAAAAGCACTTAGCTTGAAGTCAGGAGACATGGATTCTAGTCTGAGTCCCCACTGACCAGCTCTGTGTCTGCACAGTTAACTTTTATGGGCCTCAGTATTCTCATTTGCATATTGAGTAGTTGGGAAGAGTTTCTAAGTCCTTTGGTTCAGATATTCTTCAGTTCAGAAATAAGCACAGGTTAAGCCTAAATTGCTTGGGAATCTTGTTTTAAAAGGTGGGAAGGTAGAGTAGGAGCAATTGAATGTAGGAAGTAAGGTTAATAGGAAGAAGGGTTAAGTGATCATTCTTAAATTTGTTTTTCAAACCCTTGGTCTCCGTTTCAGTAAGAGTAATTTTATTTGTTTCATTTGTTGAGATTCCACTTAAGGCTACAATTTCAAAGAGTTCTGTTGGTAAAAGACAAAATTTATCTTAATTAGGCTGTATCACACTTTTAGAATATGGAGAGGTGTATTTGGTATTAAGGTTGACTCCTTCTTTATACACTAGGTTTTAAAGTTTTTTGTCTTTTGCATAATATTGGTAAATCTGTTTTTGTTAAATGTTGAATTTTCTAGCCTTTAGGATGCGCTTTTCTTATATAACTATTTTCATCATAGTTTTATGTTCTTTCGTGGGTGTATTTTATCTGTCTTTTTCCATTTTAGGCCCATACCACTCGTTCCAGTCAGAGGTGCTTGGCCTTTGTGGATGATGTTCGTTGTTCCAATCAGTCTCTTCCAATGACCAGACACTGCCTTACCCGTATCTTTTTACTCTGCCTGTTAAGGCTGTGATTTGCTAGTTTGAAGACTAGTGGGAATCTCTGCTACTTTGCTTAATTGAAGGATTTTGTTTTCCTTTGGCCCTGAATCAAGGCCAGCAGTTTGCTGAAGCTGTTGGTTTCAAGCAGGAGCCTAAAGAATTGTCTTTCTGTGGTCTGTTGGCCATTTCATAAGTTCGGAAATGTAATGGTCAATTCATTAGAAAGAAACATGAGTCATTTTTCATAGATGTGGGCTAATATTTATTTATAGTCTTAATACTTGGGTTCCAAAATATCTGTAAAATATTTATAATTATCTCAAGGTTTCTGATTTAACTTGCTTATTAGAATCGTAATACTGTTAAATCTAATTATAAACTTAAAAAATTTGTGTGGGTTTTCCACCCCAATTGAAAGGATGATTTTGCACTGTGAACTTCTAGTATTATCCTTTTGTGTGGTTAGGGCCCTCACTTCTATATTTTATTTTATTTTTTATTTTTTGGAGATGGAGTTTTGCTCTTGTCTCCCAGGCTGGAGTACAATGGTGTGATCTCGGCTCACTGCAACCTCCGCCTCACTGCAACTTCTGCCTCCCAAGTTCAAGTGATTCTCCTGCCTCAGTGTCCCGAGTAGCTGGGATTACAGACACGTGCCACCGCAACCAGCTGATTTTTGTATTATTAGTAGAGTTGGGGTTTCACCATGTTGGCCAGGCTGGTTTTGAACTCCTGACCTCAGTCAATCCACCAGCCTTGGCTTCCCAAAATGCTGGGATTACAGCAGTGAGCCACCGTGTCCAGCTTTTATCTTTTTATTTTTGTTTTTTTGAGACAGGATTTTGCACTCTTACCCAGATTGGAGTGCAGTGGCTCAGTCCTAGCCCACTGCAGCCTTGAACTCCTAGGTCAAGCAATTCTCTCACCTCAGCCTTCTGAATAGCTAGGACTATGTATGTGTGCCACCATGCCTGGCTAATTATTTATTTTATTATTAATTATATTTTTTTGAGACAGTCTCACTCTGTTGCCCAGGCTGTAGTGCAGTGGTGTGATCTCGGCTCGCTGCAGCCTCCGCCTCCCAGGTTCAAGCAATTCTTGTGCGTCAGCCTCCTGAGTAGCTGGGATTACAGGTGTGTGCCACCGTGCCCAGCTGATTTTTGTATTTTTAGTAGAGATGGGGTTTCACCATGTTGGCCAGGTTGATCTCAAATTCTTGACCTCAAGTGATCTGCCTTCTTTGGCCTCCCAAAGTGTTGGGATTACAGGCGTGAGCCACTGTACCTGGCCTATTTTTTAAAAAAATTTTTTGTAGAGACAATTTTATGTTGCCCAGGCTGGGCTTAAGCAATCCTCCAGTCTTGTCCTCCCCAAATGCTGGGCTTACAGGCATAAGCCACTGTTCCTGGCCTTTAGAAACTTAAAAAAAAATACCTGACTCTTTAAAAAATTAAAAAAAAAATTTTTTTTGAGACAGATTCTCAGTCTGTTTCCCTGGTTGGGGTGCAGTGGCATGATGATGGCTCACTGCCATGATCTGCTGGACTTAAGCAATCTTCCCACGAACTCATTCACCAGAGTAGCTGGGATTATGGGCATGTGCTACTATGTCCAGCTAATTTTGTTTAATTTTTGTAGAGGGGATGTGTCACTATGTTGCCCAGGCGGGTCTCGAACTTCTGAGCTCATGTGATCTTCCCGCCTCAGCCTCCCAAAGTGCTAGGATTACAGGTGTGAGCCACCATGCCCAGTCTCTTGACTCTTTTGTAATAACACTTAGTCACTGTGCCTGGCCTCTAACTTGCATACTTCAAATTAGAAGTTTACTATTTCCAAAAATGAGATGCTTTTTTTTCTTTTTTCAATTAATTTGCCTTTGAACCATCGTAAATGTCTCTTGATTCTGTTAAAGGACTACATTTGGCATTGGGCCTTCAAACCTTTTTGAGTTGTTGATTGATTTGTGAAAATGCTTGTTATTGACATTGAGAAAAATTTCACAGTAAAAGCACTTGTTAATTAAATAGGATTGCTGGATTTCGTTTGCTTGGCAAGAAATGCCAAATATTTGGAAATTAAAACTTATTTTCTTTAATAGGAAGAGGAGAAGGAGAACCTCCTCTTAGTCTTTTGACAGGAAGCTGAGTTTTTATTTTGCTTATTAAATATTTTACTAATTTATTAATTACAACATGTCTGATAAGATATTATTGTTCTTAATATATAGAATGCTTGTGCAAAGTAATGAAAAACTCTAAAGATAAATACTTACATCCTGGACAACACAGTGAGACCTCATCTCTAAAGATAAAAAGGAAGAAAGAAAAATTATCTGGGCATGATGGCATGTATCTGTAGTTCTGGCTACTTGGGAGGATTTTTTGAGCCTAGGAGTTTGAAGCTGCAGTGAGTTAGGATCATGCCACTGCATTCTACCCTGGGTGACAGAGCAAGACCCTGTCTCTTAAAAAAAGAAAAAAAAGGCTGGGCGAGGTGACTCACGCCTGTAATTCCAGCACTTTGGGAGGCCGAGACGGGTGGATCACCGATGTCAGGAGTTCAAGACCAGCCTGGCCAAGATGGTGAAACCCCATCTCTACTAAAAATACAAAACAAAATTAGCCAGGCATGGTGACAGGTGCCTGTAATCCCAGCTACTTGGGAGGCTGAGGCAGAGAATTGCTTGAACCCAGGAGGCGGAGGTTGCAGTGAGTGGAGATCACGCCACTGCACTTGTCTGGGTGACAGAGTGAGACTCTGTCTCAAAAAAAAAAAAATAGGCTGGGTACAGTGGCTCACGCCTGTAATCCCAGCACTTTGGGAGGCTGAGGTGGGCAGATCATGAGGTCAGGAGGTCGAGACCATCCTGGCTAACATGGTGAAACCCCGCCTCTACGGAGAATACAAAAATTAGCCGGATGTGGTGGCGGGCGCCTGTAGTCCCAGCTACTCAGGAGGCTGAGGCAGGAGAATGACATGAACCCGGGAGGTGGAGCTTGCAGTGAGCTGAGATTTTGCGCCACTGCACTCCAGCCTGGGCGACAGAGTGAGACTGTGTTTCAAAAAAAAAATTTTGCCTAAAACATAATTGGGCAAATGCTATGGACAGATTTAAAAGAAGATAGAAAAGGCTAATAGGGCTGGGCAGAGTGGCTCTCACCTGTAATCCCAGCACTTTGGGAGGCTGAGGCGGGTGGATCACCTGAGGTCAGGGGTTTGAGACCAGCTTTGCCAATATGGTGAAACCCTGTCTCTACTAAATATACAAAAATTAGCTAGGCGTGGTGATGGGCGCCTGTAATTCCAGCTACTCGGGAGGCTGAGGCAGGGGAATCCCTTGAACCCGGGAGGCAGAAGTTGTGGTGAGCCGAGTTTGCGCCATTGCACTCCAGCCTGGGCGACAGAGCGAGACTCCGTCTCACGCAAAAAAACAAAAACAAAAACAAAAAAAACACTAATAGTTGACAAGTGTGTATCTTCACTATAAATACAGCTGGCCTTTGAACAATTCAGAGGGTTGGGGTGCTGACCCCCTACACAGTTGAAAATTTGTGTATAATTTTTGATTCCTCCAAAATTTAACTGCTGGTAGCCTTATGGCTTACTGTTGATCAGAAGCCTTAACAACATAGCTGCCTAAGACATATTTTATATGTCTTATATATTGTATTCTTAAAATAATCTAGGAAAAAGTGTTACTAAGAAAATCATAAGGAAGAGAAAATACATTTACTGTTTATTAAATGGAAGTGGATTATCATAGAGGTCCTTATTCTTGTGGTCTTTTTGTTAAATGGAGGGGGAAGTGTTATTGTCTGTGGGATGGCAGAGGCAGAAGAAAATGCACGTGGAAGTGGACCCGTGCAATTCAAACTTGTGTTGTTCAAAGGTTAACTCTAAATAGGAAATAAAACAAGGAAAATTTAAAATCTATAAAATTGTTATTTGTACATATATTTGTTTTAAAATTAAAAATACGCAGTTTTTCAAAAATGAGTCGGTGAATTTCAAAAGTAGGTGAGAGTATGGTGAAATGGATGGACCTTTCTAAATATTGCTAGTGGGAATATAAATTGATATAAGCTTTTTGGAAAGCAATTTGACAATAATTCATATTTCCTCATATGAAGATTTTTACTTCTGGGAATTTATTTTAAGGAGATAATCAAATGCAGACCAATATTTTTACATGAAATATTCTTCCAACTTGAGACAGCCTTAAAATTTTTAGAGCCGGAGAATAGGGAGATAAATTATGGCACAACATAGTGTGGAATATTTTCAGGCATTAAATATATTTAACAAAATTTGTGAATGACAGCAAAATGATAGTGACATTCCAGGATATGGAATTCTGTACTGTGTCTAAATTGCATGAAACCAAGTACTGGGAGGGAACAATACAGAAATGTGATGGTTTGTGCATGGTGTGGTTATGAATGCCCTTTTTTCACTGTTCTTTTATTTTTTGGTTTTTTAAAGCGAGCTTGAATTACTTTTATAAGGGAAAAAACTCAGTTTACAGATACTAAGGACTATTTTAGATATTTCTTATAATACTGTACTCAAATAGCTTATTAAAATATAAATATAAAGCAAAATTGAAAATGTATTTGAAAAGAGAAGGGAAGTATTTTCTTTTCCTTTTATGTTCTTTCCTTTCCACTCCATAGTTGCCTAAGTCACTTACCCTTCCTTAAGTCCTTATCCCAGAGAAAGATGCGACTGCCATTGGTGACCTGTTAACTCTTTACTGTGGTCTAATGGAGACAGCACTCGACTGAAAGTGAAGGACCCAGACTCTAGTTGTAGGTTAACCATTCCCTTCTTTTTACCTCTTTTGCCCCATGTGAAAGGAAAGCGGGTGGAAGATGACGGGGGGAGTCCTTTTTAAGGATATTGTGGTATTAAATACATAAGAGACTTGTGAAAGTCCTTTGAATTCAAATGAAAAAAAGTTCTTGGCTGGTCATGGTAGCTTACGCCTGTAATCCTAGCACTTTGGGAGGCTGAGGCAGGCGGATCACCTGAGGTCAGGAGTTCGAGACGAGCCTGGCCAACATGGCAAAACCCTGTCTCTACTAGAAGTATAAAAATTAGCTGGGTGCCTGTAATCCCAGCTACTTGGGAGTCTGCGGCAGGAGAATCTCGAACCCAGGAGGCAGAGGTTGCAGTGAGCCAAGATCGCACCACTGCATTCTAGCCTGGGTGACAGAGCGAGACTTCTAAAAAAAGTTTGGTTGAAATATTTAATGGTAACATTTTAAATATTAATAATTTAAATAAGAGTGGGCTTCTTAAGCACATTAGATATTGCTTAGATTTTCTTAAGCGCATAGTGCAGATCTGATGATTCCCATTAGATTCATGTGTTTATTCATTTGATCATTCAATAAATACTCGTTTGCCTTGTACTATCTTCTGTTTCTTTAGAGTAGTGGTTTTCATCTGGGGGCCATTTTGTTTTCCAGTTGGCAATGTGTGGAGAAATTTTTGGTTGTTATAATTCAGAGATGGAGGTGCTGCTGACAGCTAGTGGTTAGAGGCCAGGAATGCTGCTATACATCCTCGTCCAACAAAGATGTACCTGGCCCACAATGTTGGTAGTGCCACAGTTGTCACACCCTGCTTGAGAGTTTAGTTATTTCCAAGTATGCATTGAAAGAAATAGCTTTATTCTTTTTTTTTTTTTTTTTTTTTTTGAGACGGAGTCTCGCTCTGTCGCCCAGGCTGGAGTGCAGTGGCCGGATCTCAGCTCACTGCAAGCTCCGCCTCCCAGGTTCACGCCATTCTCCTGCCTCAGCCTCCCGAGTAGCTGGGACTACAGGCGCCCGCCACCTCGCCCGGCTAGTTTTTTGTATTTTTTAGTGGAGATGGGGTTTCACCATGTTAGCCCATGTTGGGATGGTCTCGATCTCCTGACCTCGTGATCCGCCCGTCTTGGCCTCCCAAAGTGCTGGGATTACAGGCTTGAGCCACCGCGCCCGGCCTAGAAATAGCTTTATTCAAGGAAGTTTATATGGTTTAAAAAATTACAAAGTATGTTAGATTTTTTTTTTAATTTAAAAAATTACCATAAAAGTTTTGAGTTGAAAATTATAATTCCATAATTCAGGTACTATCAGTTTATAGAAAAATTGTGTTTTCTGGTTAAAAATAAGTCAAATTTTAAAATAACATTTATTAATCTAGGAAAATAACCAGGTAGTTAAGATTTCAAGAAATGGTAGCACTTGCATAAAATGTGTTTTGTAGAGTAACTTGAATTTTATTGTATCTAATCATCTCGATTTTGATTCATTCTGCAGTGCTTCTTTGCTAACTTGGAAATATAGCCCTTCTACCTTTAACAAAAGTTGTTAATAGAGTCCTTGGAGTGTTTCTGGAATACTTTTTTTTTGTTTTTTTCAGTGGGCCTTCATAAGCAACATTTTCTTCTTTAGGATCATAAAAGGATTCTTCTGTACTACCACACTCCCCTAAAAAAAAAAAAAGCGTGAATATTTAATTTCTTGTCAGAATATGATACCTAGTGACTTTTACTAGAGCTCTGTTTCCCCCTATTCCAGTGGTGCTTTAAATGAATTTATCATGTAATCATCTTTGGAAACAAGGTCCAAGAAATTGTTGCAAACTTTGCCAGTCTGCTAAGGGAGCAGACACATTGTATCTCCTGGAAGGGCTGTTTAGGGGCATTTTCAAGGCTATTTGCATTTGCCACTACATGTTTCTTCTGAATAGGTATGTGTTCCTGGGAGTGTTACTGCTACTTACTTAAGGGAGAATGGGATTAGTGTCTAGTTTAAATGACCAGGATCCTGAAAAGGAGGTTGGGGACAAGTTTTAAATTACTGGTAGAGCTAGAATTTGATGCTAGTAAATGACATTTATTTTGAGAAGTAACTTTAAAAATTGCTAACTGCATTTGGTATTCTGTATCAAATGTAATTGTAATTTATCTTGTATAGTCCAGACCTTGAGTTTTATGTGGCAGACAATGTTATTTGTATTTTATGCTTTCGATAGATTGTGTTTTATTTCCCTTGACCATTTTTCTACAGATATTTGTCAGGATACGAATCAGGTTCTCTTCAAGTGCTGCCAGGGATCTGAAGAGGTACCCTGCAACAAACCTGTTCCTGTAAGCCTCTCTGAGGATCCCTGCTGCCCACTGCATTTCCAGTTGCCTCCTCAGATGTATAAGCCCGAGCAGGTACTGTCTGTGCCAGACGATCTGGAAGCCGGCCCCATGGATCTGTACTTGAGTGCTGCTGAGCTTCAGCCCACTGAGAGTTTACCTCTGGAGTTCAGTGATGTAAGTTAGAGAAGCTCTGCTCTGGGTCAGGCCCTTGAGACAAAGCCTTACTTATTAATGGTGAGAATAGGTTAGTCTTTGTGGTTAGGAAGATCGACAAAGTGATATATATGTATGGTTGTGTTTGTATGTTAGTGTATTCATTTGGAGAAATCTACCCTACCTAATTTTTTTTCCAGACTCTTTTCCCATACCTTTTTAGGGATACAATTTACATGCTATAAATTGCACTCTTTGAAAGTGTATAATTGAGTGATTTTTAGCATATTCACAAAGTTAATGCAATTATCACCACTATCTAATTTCAGAAGGTTTTCACTGTCTCCAAAAGAAACTCAGTACCTATTATGACACTTCATTTTTTTCTCCCCCCAGCCCCTGGCCACCACGAATCTACTTTTTGTCTCTAAATTTGCTTATTTGGGACATTTCATATCAATGTAATAGTATATGTATCCTTTTGTGTCTGGCTTGTTTCACTTAGCATAATGTTTTCTAATGTTTTCAAGGTTTACCCATACTATGGTATGTATCAATACTTCATTCCTTTTTGTGACTGAATTAATATTCCATTGTTTGGAAATACCATCCTTTGAAAATCTATCAGTTGATGGATATATTTGTGCTGTTTCTACTTTCTGGCTGTTATGGAATATACTGTTAAGAACTTTTGAGATAGGGTTTCTGTCGGCATGAACCACCACGCCCAGCTTAGGTATCATTTTTGTAATTTTTTTTTTTTTTTAAATTGGGGTCTTGCTCTGTTGCTCAGGCTGGAGTGCAGTGGCATGATCATGGCTCACTGCAGCCTCGAACTCCTGGGCTTAAGTGATCCTCCTGCCTCAGCCTCCCAAGTAGCTGGGACTATAGGTTTATGCCACCATGCCCAGCCAGTTTTTTATTTTTTGCATAGATGAGGTCTCCCTATGTTGCCTAGACTGGTTTTCAACTCCTGGGCTCAAGTGATCCTCTTACCTTGGCCTCCCAAAGTGCTGGGATTACAAGCGTGAATCACTGTGCCCGGCCACTATAACTTGGCTTTTTTTTTAAAGACTGAATCTTGTTCTGTTGTTCAAGCTGGAGTGCAGTGGTGTGATCTCAGCTCACTGCAACCTCTGCCGCCAAGATTCAAGTGATTCTTGTGCTTCACCCTCTCGAGTAGCTGGGACTTTGGGTGTGTGCCAGCAGGACTTGCTAATTTTTGTATTTTTTGTAGAGACAGGGTTTCGCCATGTTGGCTAGGCTGGTCTCTTAACTCCTGGCCTCAAGTGATCCGCCCACCTTGGCCTCCCGAAGTGCTGGGATTATAGGCATGATTCACCATTCCTGGCCTATAACTGTTAATGATAACTTTGGTGATTTTACTTGTGGGAAGACCAGGCATCAGATATTAATATGAGTAAAAACACAGCTGTTCATTCTGGATATTTGCTTGCTTTCTGTGCTTTGATGCAAGGGTGGTTGGCAAGTAGTAACTTAACACCTTAATCTTACTACTTTTGAGTTCCTTCTCTCTCATTCTCTATTGGTGGTTTTGGAGATAGTAACAAAACGTGGATTCTCTTATTTTATCTTTATTGATTTATGTGTTTTTTGAGATGGAATCTTGGTCTGTCGCCTAGACTGGAGTGCAGTGGCACGATCTTGGCTCACTGCAACCTTCACCTCCTGGGTTCAAGCAATTCTCCTGTTCCTGCCTCCCTAGTAGCTGGGATTACAGGTGTGTGCCACCATGTCTGCCTTATTTTTTTATTTTTCAGTAGAGATGGGATTTTGCCATGTTGGCCAGGCTGGTCTCGATCTCCTGACCTCAGGTGATCCACTCGCCTCAGCCTCCCCAAAGTGCTGGGATTACAGACATGAGACGCCGTGCCCGGCCGAAAACATGGATTCTCTTTATATCCTGATACTTCAGTTTTTAAAACACTCCTGTTTTAATAGGCATTTTTGCTGATTTTCTTATTTTAGGTTCCTTTTCCCAATTTATAATCTTATAAAAGACAACACTTTGTATATATGAGAAAAGCTTTTTCTGAAAACGTATCCATTCCATTATTATCTTGAGACTTGGATGTCTTTTGCTTCAGTATTTAAATAATTCCAAGCTAATTATTATTATTTTTTTTGACAGAGTCTGTCTCTGCTACCCAGGCTGGAGTGCAGTGGCGTGATCTTGGCTCACTGCAACCTCTGCCTCCTGGGTTCAAGTGATCCGGTCTAAGCCTTCCAAGTAGTTGGGATTACAGGCGCGCACCACCATGCCTGGCTAATTTTTGTATTTTTAGTAGAGACAGGGTTTTGCCATGTTGGCCAGGCTGGTCTCAAACTCCGGGCCTCAAGTGATTCTCCCACCTTGGCCTCCTAAAGTGCTAGGATTATAGGCATGAGCCACCACACCCATTCCAAGCTAATTATTTATATAAGAATTGCACGTGGGCCAGGCGTGGTGACTCACGCTTGTAATACCAGCACTTTGGGAGTCCGAGGCAGGTGGATCACCTGAGGTCAGGAGTTTGAGACTAGCCTGGCAAACATGGTGAAACTCCCTCTACAAAAAATACAAAAATTAGCTGGATGTGGTGGCACACACCTGTAATCGCAGCTACTGGGGAGGCTGAGGCAGGAGAATTGCTTGAACCTGGGAGATGGAGGTTGCAGTGAGCCAAGATCTTGCCATTGCACTCCAGCCTGGGTAACAAGAGCGAAACTGTGTCTCACCACACGCATATACACACAAAAATTGCACATGGTAAAAGAATGGGAGAAAACAGATTTATAGTCTTCATGGTGTGAGAACACTGGTTTCTGTGGGTACTACAGAAGTTTCCAACTCACCTGAAATGGATGGTAGGTTAGTGTATCCTATACCCTATGTTTCTGCTTAAATTGAGCAGCTTTATTTTATTGTTTTTTTTGAGACAGTCTTGCTCTGTCACCCAGGCTGGAGTGCAGTGGCGCAGTCTCGGCTCACTGCAACCTCTGCCTCCTGGGTTTAAGCAATTCTCCTGCCTCAGCCTGCTGAGTAGCTAGGACTACAGGTGCGTGCCACGACGCCTGGCTAATTTTTGTATTTTTAGTAGAGATGGGGTTTCACCATGTTGGCCAGGCTGGTAATTTTTTGTATTTTATTGGAGACGGGGTTTCACCATATTAGCCAGGATGGTTTCTTGACCTCGTGATCCTCCCGCCTCGGCCTCCCAAAGTGTTGGGATTACAGGCCTGAGCCACTGTGCCCGGCCTGAGCAACTTTAAGTAGATTTTTAAATTACATAAATTCTTTAATGTGAAGATGTTGTGATTCTCATTTTTGGTGATTAGCACACCAAAAAATGAGAAAGGATTGCAAATTCTTAGATTTATTTAAAAGCGTAGAACTAAGCTTCTCGTGAAGCTAGATGAATAGAAACATAGAGCGTCTATAAACTGGATTAGGTATAGAGGGGTACAGACCTCCTGGATATTTTTAACTCTTAGGAAAGAGGAGTTTAGCACCAGACTCTTGAAAAGCAGTGGCATGAAAGTTAGTTTGATATATTGTTTGAGCCTTTGTAATGCCTTAGGCCCTGAATCAAGACCAATGGTTTGCTGTAGCTGTTGGTTTCAAACAGGAGCTAAGAGTGATGTCTTCCTTGTGGTCTGTTGGCTATTCAGTATTCCAGTGCGAAGTGCCAATTCAGTTGGAAGAAACATAGTCTAGAATGTAATGTCATTTTTTTTTAACAAAGCAAAACTGTGTTAGCCTTAAGAACCAGGGAGTTGGCTGGACGTGGTGGCTCATGCCTGTAATCCCAGCACTTTGGGAGGCTGAGGCGGGTGGATCACTGGATCAGGAGATTGAAGGCCATCCTGGCTAACACGGTGAAACACCGTCTCTACTAAAAATACAAAAAATTAGCTGGGCGGCCGGGCGCGGTGGCTCAAGCCTGTAATCCCAGCACTTTGGGAGGCCGAGACGGGCGGATCACGAGGTCAGGAGATCGAGACCATCCTGGCTAACACAATGAAACCCCGTCTCTACTAAAAATACAAAAAAATATTAGCCGGGCGAGGTGGCGGGCGCCTGTAGTCCCAGCTACTCGGGAGGCTGAGGCAGGAGAATGGCGTAAACCCGGGAGGCGGAGCTTGCAGTGAGCCGAGATAGCGCCACTGCACTCCAGCCTGGGCGACAGAGCGAGACTCCGTCTCAAAAAAAAAAAAAAAAAAAAAAAAAAAAAAAAATTAGCTGGGCATGGTGGCACATGCCAGTAGTCCCAGCTACTCGAGAGGGCTGAGGCAGGAGAATCGCTTGAACCCAGGAGGCGGAGGTTGCAGTGAGCCGAGATCACGTTGCTGCACTCCAGCCTGGGTGACAGAGCGAGACTCTGTCTCAAAAAACAAAAAAACAAGAAAAAAAAACAGGTTGTTGCTCTGTGGGGATAGGGACTTAACCAAAATAATATTTCCTAGCCATTCAGAGGAACTGTGAGTTTTCTGTCATCCTTCCTTTCTTCCTACCTTCTCCCTTTCCCCTGTTGGGGCTTGTTTGCTTGTTTCGTGGCTGTTAGGATGTTAATCAGGCAATCTTGTATTGTCCAGCAGTATTTAATTTTAATATAGCATTGTTCATATTTAATCACTGGTGAACTTGCATGTTGATTACAGGTAGCCTCAGAGAGAATATGCTTTTTTAAAAAATATTTTTTTAATTGTAGTAAAACATACATAACAAAATTTTACTCTTTTAACCTATGTATGTATGTGTGTATGTAGGTGGGTAACTAGAGATGGGGTCTTGCTGTATCACCCAGGCTGGTCTTGAATTCCTGGCCTCAAGTGATCCTCCCACTTCGGCTTCCCAAAGTGTTGGGATCACAGGCATGAGCCACTGTACCTGGCCATTTTTAAGTGTACAAGTCAGTGGTGGTACGAACATTTACCATGTTATACAGCTATCAATGTTTTCTGTTTCAGAACTTTTTCATCAGTCCAAACAGAAACTTTGTATTTTTTAAACAGTAACTCTCTCCTTTCCCTTTCCCCTGTTCCCTACTATTCTCCGTTCCTACTTCGTGTTTCTATGAATTTTCCTGGACATTTTTTTTCTTTCCGAGACAGGGTCTGACTCTGCCACCCAGGTTGGAGTGCAGAGGCTCAATCTCGGCTCACTGCAGCCACTGTGTTCCGGGCTCAAGGGATCTTCCCACCTCAGCAGCCTCTGGAGTAGCTGGGACTACAGGTGTGTGCTGCTGCGCCTGGCTGATTTTTGCAGTTTTCGTAGAGACAGGATTTCACCATGTTGCCCAGGCTGGTCTTGAACTCCTGGGCTCAAGCGATCTGCCTACCTCGGCCTCCCAAAGTGCTGGGATTACAGGTGTGGTGGCCAGAATTGTGTTTTTTAATCCACTATATTGGTCTATGTTTTACACTTGGCAGCAAAAGCTCTCAGTGCTCTTGGATCTTGTTTCATTTGTTGGACGTTCTGGTAAAATTTTTTTTTGATCAAAGGTAGGCTAGGGTTGAGGGAGACAGCAGAGTATTGCTTTAAAGTTTGCTGAAAAACATACCACCTTTATTATTGTTTCCCTTGGTATTGCTGATGGGCTTTTCTCTCTTGTTTTCTAGGACTTGGATGTTGTGGGTGATGGTATGCAGTGTCCTCCTTCACCTTTGCTTTTTGATCCTTCACTAACCCTTGAAGATCATTTAGTCAAAGAAATTGCTGAAGACCCAGTGGATATTTTGGCAAGTGAAGAACAATCCCACCTGTTTCCCGCATGTAGAGACCTGGCCAGGCAGAGGGTTCCCTGCTGGATAGCATGTACTCCTGGAGGGGAGTGGGGTGTCATCACTAGTATAAAGACGCTCCACATGTCTCTCGCTCATTGAATACCATATAAGCAAAGCACTTTTAAAAATGCCCTACTTTGCTCCTGTATACCCTTGTTGCTGTAGTTCTCCAGATAGACTCTTAGAACACCTAATGGCCCCTGATCCTCATATCCCAGAGTAGGACATAAATTTATTTAAATAAAAGCTTGAGATAAGGAATCTAGGTAAACTGTACCTTCTGAGGGAGAGTTCAGCACTGAAATTGTTCTCATTATAGAATGACCAGTAAAGTAGTGTGATTTGAGTTCTGTCTGTGAACCTTGGGTAGAATTCCAGTGGCCCTGACTGAAAACCAGCAGTTGTACTGTAGCTGTTGGTTTCAAGCAGAGGCCTAAAGGACTGTCTTCCTATGGTCTGTTGGCTGTTCTGGGACCTCAGCAGGGAATGGCTGTTTCATTTGGAAGAAACAACCTACAGCTCTCCAACCCATTGGAAGAGGCTCAGGAGTAGGCTCTTCCAAGGGACAGGGATAGCCAATATAGGGAGGAGCATCTGTCCAGAATTAATTAATTTCTGTTGTATTTTTCTTATTGCTAGTATAAATGGCCACTGATAAGTCAGATTCATACTTCAGACCACAGTGAATGAATTTCTAACTGAAGTGCCTTTATTTCTTTTAACAGGGCCAGATGCAGATGGCTGGAGATGGGTGCAGATCCCAGGGATCTCGAAATTCTGAGAAAGCCTCTGCACCATTGTCTCAGAGTGGATTGGCTACTGCAAATGGGAAGCCAGAACCCACTTCTATTAGTTGATAGTTTGGGGAACCATTTTACTTTGGTGGATTTAAATTTCTCATTCTTCAAAGAAATATTTCTGATCATCTCTCACAAAACACAGGCAACCCAGACTATCTTGTTTTTCTTCTGGATTGAGTATTATAGTCAAAAGTAAAGCCAAATTTTGAGGACATGGACCAATACTTCTTAAGAGTTGTGGGTTTCTTCCCACTCAGGGCAAGGAAGAGAGATAATCCCTATCAAAGCTTCTGGGATTATTTGGTACTATACCTAAAAGGAAAGTGACATCTTTGTAATGGGATTTCCAAAGTCATGGATAGAAATCCACTTAAGTAGCTAGGTGGGAGCTGTCTTTGTGAGTAGTGTCTTTTAGATACTGATGGCCCTAATATCTGGTTATCTCTATCTAAAGACCTGCAGTTTAACTTTTCTTCACCTCTACTTAATTGGGCAATCTTTAACCTGTTTCCGTGGTGAACTCTGGCTTTTATCCTCTGAGAAAACAGCCCACAGGACTGGGTCCTCCTTATCCATCTTGCTTTTAACCTATGTAAATTTCTGTGGTTGCTATCTTATGTAAAATATAGTACAAATTTATTGTATATAGTTTCTATTAAATGTTAAAGAAAATGTTATGAAAATATCAAACAGTCACCTGAATTGAATGCATGTTTTGTTTGAGAATATAGTCTCTCTTTCGCGGTTTTAGGGACCTGTCTCTGATGGGAAAGGGAAGTTGGGGCAGATAATACTTCCATCCCAGGAAAAAATAAATCTTCAGTAGCTCATTTTGGTTTTGCTTTTAAGGAAGAAGTAAATGAAAAGGGGCAGGACTTATTAAAGCCAATCAGTTCCAAATATCTTCTTTCTACCCTTCCACTCTGTGTCCCCTACTCCCACTCCCATTTCTCACGATTAATGCCAATGTCATCTCTGCTAGGTGTGGTGGCTTACACCTGTAATCCCAGCACTTTGGGAGGCTGAGATAGGTGGATCACTTGAGCTCAGTACTTCCAGACCAGTCTGGGCAACATGGTGAGACCCTGTGTCTATATTTTCAAATTTTAAATAATTATTTAAAAAAACAATAATGCTCATGCCATCTCAAAATTCTCTAATGGTAGGAATATACTTAAAACATAAGAGAAATTGGGCCTGATGCTGGATCACTAAGATAGTAAGGTATTGTCAAGATTGTTTTGACACTGAATCTTAGAGCAGGGTTAAAATAGAAGTTCAGTTGGGGTTGAGGTACCTACACTAGAAATTGTCTATTTCTGTACTGCATTATGACAAGGAGGGCAAAAAATTACTTTAAGAACTGAAATGGGCACAGAATGGCTTACAGTTACACCATCATCTTAACTTTAATCATTTACATTCAGAGCATGGTCAGAAGTAACTCATAAAAGGTCCATCAGATGAACCCCTAGGGAGATTGCCTTTACTAGGTCTTCCAGTGATACTGTTTTTAAGTTTGTAGTTCCCACTGCTTTTTTGATTCCCTAGTTTAGTACTTTTTTTTTTTTTGAGACAGAGTCTGGCTCTGTCGCCTAGGCGGGAGTGCAGTGGCTCAATCTTGGCTCACTGCAACCTCCATCTCCTACATTCAAATGATCCTCCTGCCTCAGCCTCCTGAGTAGCTGGGATTACAGGCATGCGCCACCGTGCCTGGTTAAATTTTGTATTTTTAGTAGAGATGGGGTTTTGCTATGTTGGCTGGGCTGGTCTCGAACTCCTCACCTCAGGTGATCTGCCTGCCTCAGCCTCCCAAAGTGCTAGAATTATAGGTGTGAGCCACCATGCCCAGCCTAGTGTAGTGCATTTTATACTTTATCCACAAAGACAAACATTTTATTTATGTGTTTCTTTATATTTGAGATGGGATCTCACTATGTCACCTGGCCTGGAGAACAGTGTCATGATTATAGTTCATTACGGTCTTGAACTGGGCTCAAGCCATTCCCCTGCCTCTCAGCCTCTTAAATCTGGGACTTGTGTGCCATCATGCCTAGCTAAGACAAACGTTACTTACACGGCTATGAGCTTGAACACGACTGCTCAGATATCCTCCTCCTGGTTAAAAAAATGTAATTTACAGACCACTAGCATATATATCACCCAGCATGATTGCTAAAAAGTAAATTAATAGGCCCATCAACACTTTCTGGGGAATGAGGGCCGGGGAATCTACTCTTAGAACCTCAGAAATTCTGATAGCTACGCATGCTTGCAGACTCAGCTGTGGTAAGTTTTGGGAAGGCTATGTTTGGCTACCATTCTCCAAGGTTCTGGCTCTCATTAGGTGCAGAGAAAACAGGAAGATGGGGTAGGAGGGGCCTCAGGCTGCACCATATTACTGAGAAAGTTTTGGCCTTGGTAATGGAGTCTCTAAACAAAGGTCTGTTAGAAGAAATGGCTTAATACCCTTGCTGTGCTCAGTCACTAGCAGCAACCTGAGGGAAGTGTGATATCTTGGTCAATCCAAAGGTGAGGATGCTGGAGGCTCTCAGTTAACTGCACTCTTGAAATCTGGGCGGCATACCTCCATGGCTACAGCTTTTTGTCAGATCCACTTCTCCCGTGCATGTTCATGATTCCTGGGGGCCTTTTAAAGGAGAAACTTAGGGGTACAAATTAGAACCCTCATAGCTACAGTTTGTCTTGGGGCTGCAACTGGTAATCATCTCCCCTCTCTACTATACATTCTAAATTCCCTCAGTTATTATGATGGTAGGTCTTGGTTTGCCTGGTGGTATGAACCTACCTTCTTTCCTGGAAAGTCTTGAGCCTTTGGTAATCATACCCTTCTCAGGCCAGGGTTGCTGCACGTGTTAATTTAGTTACAGTTGTGTGAGGGAGTACCAACTGTATAGGCAGAATAATCATCTCAAAGATGTCCACATCCTAATCCCTGGGATCTGTGAATATGCTATTGTAAAATGGCAAAAAGAACTTTAGATGTGGTCAAGGTTAAGGGTTTTGAGATGGAGAATAGCCTGGATTATCTGGGTGGGCCCAATATAATCATGAATCTTTAAAAGCAGAGAACCTTTCCCAGCTGTGTTGAGAAGCTATAGTGTGAGAAGGTTTCAATGACCTGTTTGTTCTGGATGTGTGCAAAGACTGGGGAGAGGTCTCTAGTTGTTAAGGATGACCCCTCTACCAAAACTGACAGCCAGCAAGGAACTGTCTTTTTTTTTTTTTTTTTTTTTTTTTTTGAGACGGAGTCTCGCTCTGTCACCCAGGCTGGAGTGCAGTGGCCAGATCTCAGCTCACTGCAAGCTCCGCCTCCCGGGTTTACGCCATTCTCCTGCCTCAGCCTCCCGAGTAGCTGGGACTACAGGCGCCTGCCACCTCGCCCGGCTAAGTTTTTGTATTTTTAGTAGAGACGGGGTTTCACCGTGTTAGCCAGGATGGTCTCGATCTCCTGACCTCGTGATCCGCCCGTCTCGGCCTCCCAAAGTGCTGGGATTACAGGCTTAAGCCACCGCGCCCGGCCGGAACTGTCTTAGAAAACCTGCCTGCTTCACTCCTTTATGCTTCATGTGTGACTCCTGGTTTAGGCCCTCATCCTTTCTCTTGAGAAAGGCAGTCGTCTCCTAGTTGGTCTCTCAGCCTCAAGTCTTATACTCTTTCAATCCATACTGCAGCCAGAATGATCTTAAAAACTTTATCCTGTCTCTTCTCTTTTTTTTTTTTTTTGAGATGGAGTCTTGCTCTGTCGCCCAGGCTGGAGTGCAGTGGCCGGATCTCAGCTCACTGCAAGCCCCGCCTCCCGGGTTCACGCCATTCTCCTGCCTCAGCCTCCCGAGTAGCTGGGACTACAGGCGCCCGCCACCTCGCCCGGCTAATTTTTTGTATTTTTTAGTAGAGACGGGGTTTCACCGTGTTAGCCAGGATGGTCTCGATCTTCTGACCTCGTGATCCACCCGTCTCGGCCTCCCAAAGTGCTGGGATTACAGGCTTGAGCCACCGCGCCCGGCCTATCCTGTCTCTTCACTGCTTATGGCAACCCCCTAGCCTTCAGTTACACCTCATTGTTGTCAGGAAAAAAAACAACCAGCTGCTTTAACATGGCATTTAAGACTTCATAATCTGATCTTATTTATCTATAGACAGTCATCTTGAAATGTTCTTTCTCTTACAGGCTATTCTCCAGCCATTCTTGGATTTATTTGAAAAGGAAACATTGAAATGTAGCCAAGTACATGGGGTTTGAATTCAGAAGGACCTGGATTGAATCCTGGTTTTGCCACTTTGAGAACTTTGTGACTTTAAGATAATCACTATCTCTCTGAACTTCAGTTTTCTCGACTGTGTAAATAGGGTGACACTGACCTAGAAGTGTTGTGAGATAAAGTGGAAAACACAGAATTAGAAGCTCTCAGAAACATGTAAACCCTCAGAAAATGGTAACTTATTATTTTAAAAGTGTAAGTTCTCTTCAGCTCAGGCATCACTTCATCCAAGTTTTTCAATGATTAGTTAATGCTGACATTGAATAAATACAAGCAAAATAGCAAATCCAGCCATGTCTATAGGTTCATTCATTTGTAAGGGAAAAGTACAAATCTGTATTCAAGATAGTAACTCAGTCTTCATGTTTACAGTTAAATATTTAATCTGACTTACAAGTAGCAGTGCTTATACTGCTTGTATTATTTTGCCTTGCTCCCCTCTCAGCGAAGTTGTAAGATTCATCCTGTTTGTCTACATCAAGATGTTTTCATTTATTTTCATTACTATATATAGAAATTTCCTACTTTTTTTTTTTTTTTTTAATTGAGACAGAGTCTTGCTGTGTCGCCAGGCTGGAGTGCAATGGTGCAATCTTGGCTCACTGCAACGTCCGCCTCCTGGGTTCAAGTGATTCCCCTGCCTCAGCCTCCCGAGTAGCTGGGATTTACTACACTATTATTATTCTACTATGGATAGAATTTTACTACATGACTCCATCACTATTCACTGTAATGTTGAGAGATAATTGTTTCCAGTTTTGGATATTTCAAAAATTAGTCATTAATATTTTTGTATATTAAGGGCCGGGCACAGTGGCTTACACCTATAATCCCAGTGCTTTGAGAAGCTGAGGTGGGAAGATTGCTTGAGTCCAGGAGTTCCAGATTAGCTCAGGCAACATAGTGAGACCCTGTCTCTATAAAAATAAGAAATAAGCTGGACATGGTGGTGTGTGCCTGTAGTCCCAGCTACTTAGGAGATGAGGGGATCTCTTGAGCCCAGGAGTTTGAGGTTACAATGAGCTGTGATCTTACACTCCAGCTTGGGTGATAGCAACACCCTGTCTCTTTAAAAAAAAAAAAAACCGAACATGTATATAGCTGTTGCACATGTGCCTACATATCTCTGTGGTATGCCCAGCAGTGTAATTTGGGTCATAGAGTAGACGTATTTATGGCTTTACTAGATAATGTAAAGCTAGTTCTCCATAGTGGTTTAACCAATTTATTTTATTTTTTGAGGTGGGGAATCTTGCTTCTAGGCTGACCTGGAACTCCTGGGCGCAAGTGATCCTTCTGCCTCAACCTCCCAAGAAGCTGGGAATACAGCTTCTTGTGTGCCTTGATGCCCAGTTGGAGTTTGTTTTTGTGTATAAGGGAGGTAGCGATCCAATTCTTTTTTTTCCATGTGACTGTCATGTGGG